GGCCATCCCTCTGCTGCGTCTCCACCATCCGCAGCTCGCAGGGACCACCCGAGCCAGGTGAGAGGGGCTGCAGGGCATGCCAGGGGGCTGTGGGGCAGGACTAGGGGGCTGCAGGACCGGTGGGGTCAGAGGGAGATGTTGCATGTGCATCCCCAGCCTCCGGCTAAGTAGAAAAGGAGCAGAGGGGATGGAGGGTGACTGGGTGCTTGCGGTGTTGCTGTGACTGCTCCTGTGCTGGGCATGGGAAGGAGAGGAAATCATGTGTCCTTCCCTTGCTCCAAAACACTCCCCGGTGCTCTGGCTCAGCACCTTCAACCCTCATACGCACTGAGCACGGCCGGGCGATGGGCAAGTTGAGACCTGAGAGCTGAGGGTGCAGGAGGCTACGGAGGAGCTGCTGTTGGAGCTGCAGGGGGTTCAGGTCTTCAGGGTGGCTGTTGCCTGCCCCTGATGGGAGTAATGCCTCCTGTGATCTCAGCCTTGCCTTTCTTCTCTACTTATTTTTCCCTTCATCTTTCCCCCCTCTCTCCCATCTGCTCCCACTCTGGCTCTCTTGCCTCGAGTCGTGTTTGCTGGAGGAGCATAGATGCCCACGTCTTGCTGCTGGCAGCAAATGCTCTATAGCCCCCTATGATTATAGGTCCTGATGATGGCCCCATTCCCTACTGCTCCCTCACCAAGCATTTCTGCAGCGAGTCCTGGGGACAGACAGAGCTCTGGCACCAGCCCCTATGGACCGGCCAGCTCCATATCTGTCCCCAAGGCTCAGTGGGATAGGCAGTTTTCAGCTTGGGGGTACCCCAGCATGGCTGCGGCAGGACTGGGTGCTCAGGGTGCTGGGGACATCTTGGGCATTCTTGGCTGGAAGGTGCACAACCCTGCTGGGTCTGGGGTGTCTGAGGCTGTGGGAAGCCATGAGAGACATCTCCATCGCCCAGGACAGCCAGAAACCACCCCTGCAAACCCTACCTCTACTCCAAGCCCCTTCAGCTTGGATCTCCATTCAGCTTGTTTTCTATAAAATCTCTTTCTCAGCCATTGGTTGGGTCCTCTGCCTCAGTTTCCCCATGGCAATGCTTGTCACTGGGTGTGTCTAAGGAGCAAGGTGGTGTGATGTGGTCTGGATAACCAGGGACACATTAAGAACTGTATCCTGCCCTATTTTGTCGTCTTTTGGCCAGTTTGTCTCCTCTTGCATGAAGGTGTACTCAAGAGGTCTCTTTGAAAACTCCCCCCTCTTAAAACTTGCTAATTATGAAAATGTGGGTTTTCTCCAGCCCTTTCACTCACCCAGGGTGGTTGTCCCAGAGGGTCAAGCTCCTTCAGGTGCTGCTCTGCTTTCAGTGGTTTCATGACCTGCTGTGATGGGAGCAGGTGAGCTGGGGGATGCTCTGGTCTTTGCTCCTGTGGATCAGCACTGCTTATGTCAAGCCGGCTGGCTTTTATCCAGAGCAGACAAGCCTGTGAGACCTTAATACCCATGCGACCTCCTCCCACAGCAGCTGGGTCCCTTCAGCCCCCACCAAAGGAAAGCTTTACATACTCATTGCGACCCGAATACCCCCCCTGCTTATTAAAACACAAAGCATGAGGGTCAAAAACTACTTCTTGTGGGTAAATGGCTCTTCGTGGGTCAGCATTGATGGGCTGGTGCGTGTTTGGCTGGGTTGGGTGCATGGGTAGCAGCCGTCCCCAAGCATCTTTGGTCTGTGCTGGGTAGGAACCAACAAGTGTCCCCTTCTACATCAGGGTGGGGTTTATGTGCTCCCCATCACTCGGTGGTGGCAGTTTCCTGGCAGCCTGGTCCATGGAAAGCATCTCTGCCCCTTTGCCCCTTCCCGGCGTCTCTCTGGGCAGAGCGGCAGTGACAGGCAGCGAGTGACAACCAAGTGGTGACAATTGGCTGTGGGTCCCCACATCTGCTCAGCAGGCGGGTGTCAAAACAAGCATCGCTCGTGAGGAGTTTGTGTGGGCAAACATTGCGTCGGCGCCTGCTGGCTCCCAGCACCAGCCGGCGGCTCCATGGGCTGATGGATTTTCTCCCTGGCAGTGGAAAGGGAAGATGGGAGGGGGCAGATTTTCGCAGTGGGGGAGTACAGCTGGCTTGGCAGGTCCCATGGGGTAGAAGAGGTGTTTCTGGGTGCCCAAGCATGAGGCAGGCATGCTCCAGGGCTGTGTCTCACCTGATTTCCCTCCACAGCCACTGCCGCTCACTTCAGCTTCTGCC